ATCAATAAAAGTTATTTCCTCTAATCAGAGGGTAAACAGAGGATTAATTTATCATGATTAACTAGCTGAGCAGTTCAGTTATGAGTGACAACAGGCTCTGTAACAATGCGATTCTCTTTGATGTGCCATAATTAATGTCAGACAGTGTGTGAATAACTCAGTGAAGCAGATCTCAGGTGAGCAGGTAACTGACAAACAAACAAATTAATTGCCTTTCATGGCTGACCGGGGTGTGATAATCACGAGTGACCAACGTTCGGCCTGTGAGCCGTAACGATCAGCCGGCCATGACTTCAGACGGGCAAAAGTTATGCCTGGAATCAATTTCGAAGAATTTAGTTATGACAAAAACCAGGATTATGACATTATTCTATGACAATAAATGGGCTGTTTTACTACAGGTTATATAGGAAATGATTTGGGACTTTGATATTTTATGATTATAAATGGGATATTCTATAAAGCAGTATGACATTAAGTGGGCGGCACTGTACATGCATCTGCCTGAAGCAGGCCATCCTGAAAACTGAAAGAGACACCTATGACTTTTCAGGAGTTACAAGCTTCAGCTGGGAGCAATATTGCAAAAAAAAAAGTCACCAATAAAAAAAAAATCATTTAACATCTCCACCAGATTTTGTGCACATCATCGCAAACAAACCATTGGCAACATGAAGCATGGTGGTGGCAGCATCATGATGTGGGGAAGCATCTCAGCAGCAGGCCCTGGAAGGCTTGTAAAGGTAGAGGGTCAAATGAATGCAGTCATGTATGGGGTAATCCTGGAGGACAACCTTCTGCAGTGTGCAAGAGAGCTGTGACTTAAACGAAGATTTGTTCATGAGCAAGACAGTGAGCTGAAGCATACAGCCTAAGCTACAAAGAAATGGTTAAAGGACATCAAGGTGAATGATAACAAGGTAAAAGATCATGATGATCTTCTACCATGCAGTGCTGGAGAGTGTGGTAAGATACAGCATTACAGCTCGGTACGGCAGCCTCTCTGTTCAACTGAAAAACAAGCTGCTTCATCTAGTCCACACTGCCTGGAAAATTATAGGTGAGCAGGAGCACCCCTCCCTGCAAAACACTATGAACAGGTTGCTCTGCGCCTGGCCAACAAGATCCTGAGTGATCCATCACACGCTCTGTACTCAGAGTATGAGTGGTTACCTTCTGGAAGAAGACTCAGAGTCCCACGCTGCCGATTGAACAGATATAAAAATTCATTTGTTCCAGCTTTGATTAGGCTAGTTAATAAGAAAAAATAGCTCTAATTGTTTTGTTTTGTTTTTTTAAATACCATGTTTTGGACTCATGAAATTACACTATGATATGCTTTTACCTGATGTATGTATGTATTTATTTATTCTATCTATTAACTGTGTTTTCACTGTTTGTGTCTGCTTGTGTTGGCTGCAGCAATAGTGGTAATGGTGAATAGCCCAAGACAAACTCCCCACGCCTGGGACAATAGAGTTAATCTTGATCTTGAATGTTTTGGAGTTGCAAAGTCAGAGCCCGGAACTCGTGATTTAGTAAACATTGATAATGATGTTACACTGACCATGATTCAATGTCAAAAAGCAACAAAACGGAAGAACCTCCAAAGGGGAAGGACACTTTTTATATAGCCCTTGTATGTTGTCATATCTGGTCAGTGTTGGACAGGCAAGATTGACAGGTTGAAAGATCTCAAAATTAAAAATACTCACAGGAAAAAGAGACAGAGCATTTTTAGCTGTCTAATTAGTATGAACGCGCCACAACCTGAGGCACAATGACTGACGCAGACACAAACACCACACATGGCTCCACACATGCAAAGAATATACTAATGATACAGTATATAATCATTAACCTTAATGCTACTGATATTGTCTACTGTGCAACCAGCTCTATTTTGAAGCTTTAGCAATATTGTTTTTTGTACATTTGAAGCCAATAAAGCCCTTTGTATTGCACTGAACTGAAAACGGATGTACACTTGAGCTGATCAGACGTCTAAGAGGAGTGCTGTAGCGAAACGCTTGTATAAATGAACAAATGCTAGTATAAGTATTTGAAGTCATCAATCTGACATTTGACAGCGGTATGTTTTATGGGCATCTGTGTCTGTCCATATCCTACAACCTGTTCCCTAAAATTGTAGTGTGTCACAGTGGTTAACTCGAGCAGGTATGTGTCAATTTTAGAAAAAAAAAATAAGTTTATGACATTTAGCCCTTTTAAGACATGATGATGAACAGCCCATTCTTACAACAGACATTTTGACTTGTCAGTTTAGCGTAAATGAAGTCCCACATTGATTAAACCCCTAAAAACTAATCACTGTGTATCAAAGTTACATACAGTTGAAACCAGAAGTTTACATACACTGTAGAAAAAGACATTTTTTTTCTCTCACTGTCTGACACTAAATATGACTAAATGTTTCCTGTTTTAGGTCAGTTAGGATTACCGGTTTGTTGGCTGCCTTCCTCCACACACCTTTTCAGCTCTGCCCACAAATTTTCTACAGGATTGAGATCAGGGCTTTGTGATGGCCACTCCAAAACATTGACTTTGTCGTCCTGAAGCCACTTTGTGACTAATGTGGCGGTATGCTTAGGATCATTGGCCATTTGGAGGATCCATTTACGCCCAAGCTTTAACTTCCTGGCTGATGTCTTAAGATGTTGCTTCAATATTTCCACATGATGTTCTTTCCTCATGATACCATCTATTCTGTGAAGTGCACCAGTCCCTCCTACAGCAAAACACCCCCACAACATGATGCTGCCACCCCCGTGCTTCACAGTTGGGATGGTGTTCTCAGGCTTGCAAGCTTCCCCCTTTTTCCTCCAAATGTAACAATGGTCATTATGACCAAACAGTTCGATTTTAGTTTCATCAGACTCCAGGACATGTCTCCAAAAATGAAGGTCTTTGTCCCTGTATGCATTTGCAAACTGTAATCTGGCTTTTTTATGTTGCTTTTGGAGTAATGTCTTCTTCCTGTCTGAGCAGCCTCTCAGCCATATTGGTCAGTACAGGACTGGTTTCACTGTGGATAATGACACTCTCTTACCAGCTTCAGCAGCATCTTCACAGGTTCTTTTGCTTTTGTTCTGGGGTTGATTTGTACATTTCATACCAAAACACTTCATCTCTGGGACAAAGAACCCGTCTCCTTCCTGAGCGCTATGATGGCTGGACATTCCCACAGTGTTTATACTTGTGTAGAACTGTTTGAACAGATGAACGTGGAACCTTCAGGCATCTGGAAACTGTACCCAAGGATGAACCAGACTTGTGGAGGTCCACAATCCTCTTCCTCATATCTTGGCTGATTTCTTCAGATTTTCTCATGTTGTCTCAAAAGGAAGCAGTGTGTTTCAGGTGTGCCTGAAAATACAGCCACAGGTGTGCCTCCAGTTAACTCAAATGTTGTCAATTAACCTATCAAAAGCTTCAAAAGCCATGACATCATCATCTGGGCTTTCCCATATAGTCTGAAGGGATAGTAATCTTAGTGTATGTAAACTTCTGACTTTGAAGAAAGTCATAAAAATTTCTCTAAATTTTTTTTTTTTTTAAATCCTCTGTTTTATTATTCTGGCATTTAGCAAATAGAAATCATTTTGGTAATCCTAACTGACCTAAAACAGTTAATGTCAATTGTTAAGTTAATGTCAGATAGTAAGAACAGTATATATGTCTTTGTATACAGTGGATGTAAACTTGTAGTTTCAACTGTATTTACCATCTTTTTCAATAACAACAAACCCCTTCCTGCCTTTTAAAGGTTTAGCAGTTACTCTACACTGTTGCTTCCTTTAGAATGTGCAGCTCTATGAAGTCCACACCTCACGCTTGACCCTCCCCTCCAGATTCGCTGCAGCTCAAGCACACCAGCTCACCTTTTTTTCTGCTCAAAATTGACATACACTGCACAAGAGCATGTGGTAACACTGCAGTAACTCAGCCTTGCATGTCAGAACTGGGAGCCAATTCTCAAGAAGAGCAGTGAGAGGGGAAGCTCCACCCTGCCAGTTGACAGGATCGGTCCCTGAAGTTTGTTGTGTGTGAAACCACAGGAGTGTTTAAGAGACTGCCATTAGTTCAGGGAAGTTTTAAGATGGAAATCATCAACATGATTTCTGGGAAATATATATTTTTTTGTTTTATTTTTTAAAAAAAAAACAAAAAAAAAAAACAAAACTGACGGGCGTGCAAATTTTCCACGGGGGGGTTCTTCAATTTCTGCATTGTGTTGCACACATTCAGAACTCATTAGTCCAATCCATCATTCTCTACCATAACCTATCCAACACAGATGAACGCTTCTCTCTCCCATGGTCCTAAATTTAAATCTTTTAGAAAAAAAAAAAAACAAAACTATATGTACAAGAAGACGTGCGCACACACACCCACATGCACACGCACGCACGTACCTCCCCTGTGGCCCCAAACATCCCGGCGCCTCGTGACGTAAGAGCCGCCTTGCCTTTAAAACGCGCAGGATCGGAACGCTTACACAACCTTGTCGAGCCTTGCGCGAGTCTCCACTGCGAGCACGGATTACAATGAACTCCAAAGTGGTGACTTGTAGATGCCAGAGTCCCTCCAAACACCCATCAAACAGTTAGAAAGAAAGGTGGAGCCACTCGCCAGCTGGGATGAATTGTGCCAGTTTTGCCAAAGCGCACGAAGAGGAGCTGGTGCGCGCTTTGAAACGGTGAACACGGAGGAGGCGAAGCGTAAAAGGTAACAGGTGGCACTTTATGGTTCCAGTGCGGCTTTTTTCCCCCCTTCTTCTTCTTCTTTTCAGCCTTTTGTGTCAGTTTTCTAAGAACGTGTTAGCAGCTATATGCTCTCAGAGTCAGTGGAGGAATGTGAACACAATGTGAGTTCCAGTGGAAGAACAAAAAAAACAACAAAAAAACTGAAAGAAAGCTGCCGTATTCACAAACTTTCCAGGTGAGCAATGCGGTCAGCGGCTCCAGAGTGAAGATCGACTCAGATGAATGGACCTCAGCAGGATGTTTTCTGGTCAGGCTGGTCTCAATTACAGCTTCAACCTGAGCGATGACCGGGAGCTGGTGGACGCGCCGGCGGGCACGGCCAAGCTCTCCCCGACGGGCTTTATAGTGCTGTCCGTGGTGCTGGGCTTCATCATGACTTTTGGCTTCCTCAACAACTTCATTGTCCTGCTTCTGTTTTGCAAATTCAAGAAGCTGCGCACGCCGGTCAACATGCTGCTGCTCAACATCAGCGTCAGTGACATGCTGGTGTGTCTGTTCGGAACCACGCTCAGCTTCGCCTCCAGCATCCGAGGGAAGTGGCTGCTGGGGCGCAGCGGCTGCAGCTGGTACGGCTTCATCAACTCCTGCTTTGGTAAGTTCCTTGGGCTTTTCTGACGCCTGGCACATGCCATTTACCAAAAAAGAAAAAAAAGAAAAAGAAAAGTGATTGTGCTATGAGAGAATATCACACAAAAATCCTACACACAAAGAATAAAACACTACTTTTGATGCTGATTGTATGCCTGAGTGTTGCACTTTTTAAGTTTAGTGACCAAATCCCCTGTGCTACAGTTTCCCCTTTATTTATTACCACTTTCTAGATAGAATGAGGGTGTCTGCTGCACAGACAACCTGAGTGGACGGCTATAAATAGAAGGTCTGTGGCAAATGTCTGCAGTCTTACATTGCTATTGCACATCAGTGACTGAGATCTGATGGGGATTAGATTCATTAATATTTTCAGAGAGCATGTAAGTCACTCTTCACATCATTAACCATGTGAATTAAAGTTTGAAATGCCTACCTGCAGAATTAAAGGTTTCTGGCAGTTTCTCTGCTGCTTGAGGATGACAGGGTGTGAGTGCTTTCATATTGTTAATTAGTGCATGTGAAATGACAGCTGAGCTGCCATGGAGACACACGAAACACAACCAAATGCTCCCACTTTGGATGCGTTTTTCTACAAATTGTGACTACACCAAGCAGGTCATTTTTTACAGTTGAGAAATCTACTTATCAGTGCCCTGTGGTGGACAAACTGTGTAATGGTCACACTGCTTCTAAATACCACCAAACCTATAGTTGACATTTCTGTACTGCCTTTTCCTACTTATCAGCCGACGCCCATATATCTCAGGAACATCGGAGGCTGTATTGTTCTAGCTCTACTCCTCACTCTGACCTTCTCTCTCTCTCCACAGAACAGGGATTGCTGTCAGACTTGTGTATTACTACATCACAGTGTTTATGACCTCTCCCAGACCCCTAAAAAAAAAAAACATCATGAGATTGTTTTTTTTGCCTTGAATAGCTGAGCGAGGTGTCCAAATTAACCCTTTTGTGCAAGGAACGAATCAAACATGGAGACGAGAATACAGGTTTAATATTTTAATAAATGCTGGACTGAATTTTACTGTTCGTCACGGAGAAAAAAGAAAAACTTCCATTATGTTGTCAAGTTAGTGCTTTCTGCACGTCTCTCAGCTGGATGTGGTCTGCTTAGAGCAACAAATCGAATTCTATGACTTTACTAATGCTTTAATCACGTAACCTTTGACCTCTATATGAGATAAGAAGAAATTGATCATCGATTGTTGTGGATGTGTTTCCTGTTTTCCTGTATATACTCATCTTATCCCTAAAAAAAAAAAGAAATAAATGAGCGTTAAAACCAGATAGAGTCAGTGGAGCTGTCTAGTTGTCTGTTACATGTGCAGAGATGTCATGTCTTCATGTTAGGAGGTGAATATGCATACATTTAGCATGCCTAATCTGGGATTAAATTCCTCATTCAGAAAACAATTTTCTGGATGTTATTGGCTGCTGCTGTTTAGGCTTTTTCCAAATGTTATTCTCGGAGCCACAATACATTCCCTAAACTCTGTGAGTAAGGCTTGTTTTTCTCAATAAACCAATAAATCCCACTGAAAGACTTACACATTTATTCTATGGGCAAATAATGTTGCCAAAGCAAGAGTCTGCCAGATAATTACAAACTGTGATTGTGCTGAAAGCGTTCCAACAGTAGTTTATTATTGCGAATTCAATTCATGTGATTTAAATGAGTGACATTATTGCAGTTACTTTTTGTAATGTTGAGCTTCCTGTAGCCAGTCAAACTCTGTGCAACTTAGTTGTTCTCTCTGTTGTTAAAATAGCTTTCCCCATTCTGATTCAGGCCCATCCTCAGCCCATGTACAGTACCGGTCCCATTTTTGTTCTTGTTCTGGTTTTTAATGCTTCAGTGGGTTTCACGGTTCAGCGGTTTCATGGTTCGTACGCCATTTTTCTTGACAGTAAATCATTTGTCATGCCCATTCAGGCTGTGGTTGTAGGAATGTTCGTAGGCCAGTCCCATGCAATTTTAATTATATTCCGTCTTTTATTTTGTTTTATTATGATCTTCTTTATTTCCCTCTGCCCTCGCTAGTGACACACAACTATCTGTAGATTGTGTTATTTTCACTCCTCCCTTCTCCGTTTCCGCACCCTTTGACAACAATATCTTCTTTGTTTCGGTGTACTTTTTTCATACGTGCTTCTCTTTCTGTGTAATGCTACAAGAAAACAAATAGGGACTTCTGATGCAGAAGATTTTCCATTCTTAATAAACAAGCACTTCTGTATTTCTGACTATGTAAAATCAGCAGGGAGTTTTGACTTTGTTCTCCCCGGCACTTCTGCATGGTGCCATTGGTGCTCCGTTTTTGCATACACAAAACTTGACTCAGTGTGATACCGAATGCTGGAACTCATTGCATGTATTTATACAGCACTAGATACTTTCCAGATTGACATAAAGCTGGTTTATTTAAGTAGATAAAAGCCTTGCCCTATGTAAACCACTGCGACAAACATAAAGAGCAATCTCAGAAACTCTTCTTCTGCTTGTCATTCTAAGAAACCAAACACATCTGCATGGAAGTGATAAGAGATTTGCATATTGCGCACATTTTTCCACATGTAAACACTGAAGCAATCATGATTGACTATGGGTTTAAATTAATTAAGTAATCAAGTACAAATAAATTATTATTATTTCTCATTTTAAAATTAGACCGACATTAGAGAAAAAAAGGAAACTGCTTCCGTTCGTCTGTCTTTTCTTGACATATTTCACAAGTTGTCGTGCACAAATACAGACGCACAAACAGAAACAGTCTCAAGCATCATCTTCCACGACACATTACTCCAGTACATCCTTACTGGAACAAACTCGTAGCATGATGCACACTCACCTTGTCCAGTACGTTTAAATGTTAAAATTACATTACACGGCCAATTTAACACACGATCAAGCCTGAATGCATATGAAGACAGTAGAGGGCTCCGATTAAACTGTACACACCCATTTTAATGCCAGACTATGATCGCTCATGTCTTTTCTATACATACGGTCTATCCCTGCCACCATGCACACCCCCTGCTGTCTTTCCTCCAGATGAGATAACAGAAAGTCTGCTTCAACAGGTCACTGCTGGAGAGCAGACTCACACATGGTTGATAATGAGTTGGACTGCCCCAGGCGATTTTCAACCAAGGTTCTTAGAAAAACAAAGGATCACATTTATACAGTATGTTGCAAGCTTTTTTTTCTCCTTTTTTTTAGTGGTATTCAGTATATATAGTGTATCAGGTGAAAAAGCTATAAGGGGTTTTCAGTCATAAATACTTTGGTGTCATTTTTAGACTCAACTCTCAGTTAAAACAAGTTACGTAAGTTGTTGTAAAAGCAAATAAAACTGATTCACTTAAAAAAATCAAAAATGAAAAAAAGCCTGACATGTGACGCTGCTAAGACTCCATTCCATGATTATTTCACAAATGACATTCTGTTTCATAACCACTGATACAATAATAGAGGTTGCACAATCTGCAGACAAATAAACCCTCAAGTTTCTGGATAATAGACATGACTCCACTATACCCCCTACTCATGATTTCCTTTCCTGGGAACATCTTATTAAATTACACAATGGTTGTTGAATGCGTAAAACAATTAAAGCAGCCTTTAGCCACACAGGATGCATTTTTATTTTTTTTTTTAATTATTAAAAAAAATATATAAAAAACTTCCCAGTTCTGGAAAATACTTGCATTAAGCATAAAATACAGCACTTTTTATCTTTCCTTAGTATGTGATCTTAAAACTGGCCTAAAAAGCAACCACACCTGCTAACAGAAATATTTGTCGCACGCTCGCCCTTTCTGCTTTCATTTGCTTTTCATCAGTGCTTTTAGATTGTGTCCCTTCTGGCTTTACTTTTGTTATCTATAATGTAATTGGATTTCATGTGACACAACAACCTCTGCAGTGTCTCATATCATCAGTTTGCACATGTTTTACTTTGCATGCTGCTTGCTTTGTTGTCTTTTTTTTCTTCTTTTTTTTTTGGTCTACTTTTTCCTGTACAAGTTTTAAATGGTATTTGACTGTTGGTGCTACATCTGGTCAGAAATAAAAATCAGCAATTTGGTTAACACCGACACATTTACAGTGATTGTCGCTTTAAAAAAAAAAAAAAGACGAATCTGCAGGAAGTCTTGCAGAGAGCAATGAGGACATAAAAAGTCCTGCTGTCACTCTGACAACCTCCTTGTCATATCTAATCTTCTCTACAATCACCTTTTCTCTCTATTTACCTTTGGTTTTATAAATAAATCCAAATGCCAGAAACCAGCATGGTGCAGGATGACTCATACTTGTCACATTTCATTCACATCCTTCATTTTTCCTTTTTCATGAGATTTTTATCTACCAGTTGCCAACCAGATTCTGACTGCTGATATGGCCTCTGTAAATCTCTAAACCTCTGAGTGAGAACGGCTCTTTATTTGTATGGTTTTCCATGTAATGTCAGACTTGTTTCTAAGTCCCTGTATTTTGTAATTATTGTAATCAGATCAAATTTTAAGTTTGTGCGTTATTGTGGCTGACAAAACTGTAAACTACTTTAATTTTGTATTTAATTAGCAAATTAAGTTAGCTGTTGTCGTGAGCAGCTTTGCATGGGAAAGTCAGCGTGTAGCTCAAAGCACTGCTGTAGAGCCACTAGAGTATTAAAAGTAGGCTGGCTTTGCTTAGCTCACTGTCTCCACAGTCAAATTTGCTCCAACAACTGATCTCCTCATTCAAATCGCAACATTTAAAGCACTTGCTCGTCTCTTGGGAGTAGTTTTTCAAGTTTTATGCCTGCTTTTGTGCAACTATGAAAGCATGAGCAGGTTGTAAGGAAGCAGAATGACCCGGGATCCTTATAGTTGTATATACTAGTATGTTTATATAGAGTGTGGAAGCTACAGGGGAGCCAGGAGGAGCTTGGCTTTATTTAATAAGACATGAGCTCTGCTGAAAACATGACTTGTGGGGGG